GAATACCCTCACAGCCCTTGCTTGTGCCAGGTGGCTATTTTTGTACCAGGTGATACTGCCTCTCCATCTCATAACATCTGATGGGATTAGAAGTGGACTTCTAATCTGAAACTTGTCAATTCATAGGTTGCCAGCTTACATCCTGGCTTGAAACGATGGATTGTGCCCATAGTTTTTGTCTGGGTAAATATGAACCAAGAGACAAGGAGGAGGTTCCCTTGTTGACCTTGGGCTGGGGTATCTATGATGACCAAGTACAGCAACAGTAAACAGAGGGAGAGCAGTGTAACAACACAAAAAGACTGAGAGACGGCTGGTTGCGGTGGCTCATGTCTGTAATCCCAGGACTTTGGGAGGCCGAGGCGGGAGGATCATGAGGTTGGGAGTTCAAGATCAGCCTGATCAACATGGTGAAACTCCCATCTCTACCAAAAATACAAGTGGTGGCGTGCACTTGTAATCCCAGCTACTTAGGAGGCTGAGGCAGGACCTGACACCTGAGAGGCGGAGGTTGTAGTGAGCTGAGATCACGCCACTGCACTCCAGCCTGGGCAACAGAGTGAGACACCATCAAAAAAGAGAAAGAAAGAAAGAAAGAAAGAAAGAGAGAGAGAGAGAGAGAGAGAGAGAGAGAGGGAGGGAGGGACAGAGGGGAAGGAAGGAAGGAAGGAAGGAAGGAAGGAAGGAAGGAAGGAAGGAAGGAAGGAAGGAAGAAAGAAGGAAAGAAAGAAAGAAAGAAAGAAAGAAAGAAAGAAAGAAAGAAAGAAAGAAAGAAAGAGAAAGAAAAAAAGGCCAGCACAGTGGCTCACGCCTATAATCCTAGCACTTTGGGAGCCTGAGGTGGGTGGATCACCTGAGGTCGGGAGTTTGAAACCAGCCTGACCAACATGGAGAAACCCCGTCTTTACTAAAGTACAAAAAAATTAGCCAGGTCTGGTGGTGCGTGCCTATAATCCCAGCTACTCGGGAGGCTGAGGCGGGAGAATCGCTTGGTTGTGGTGAGCCGAGATAGTGCCATTGCACTCCAGCCTGGGCATCAAGAGTGAAGACACACTAACCTCCCAGTGCCTTTTTTTTTCTTTAGAGACAGGGTATTTTTCTGTGGCACAGGCTGAAGTACTGTGGCACAGTCACAGCTCACTGCAGTCTCCACCTGCCTGGGCTGAGATGATCTTCTCACTTCAGCCTCCCACCACACCTTGCTGATAGTTGTATTTTTTGTAGAGAGGGATTTTGCAATGTTGCCAAGTCTGGTCTCAAACTCCTGGGCTCAAGAGATCCACCTGCCTCTGTCTCCCAAATGGTTGGGATTACAGGTGTGAGCCACTGCACAAGGCCCCCAGTGGCTTTTAAGTCCTGTGAAGTCCTTTTCAATTTGGATTCCTATCTTTCAATACCTAAGATGAAATAAACAGCCTTCTGCTGTAGCAAGTTTGGATGAGTCTCTGTTCTTTGCCACCAAAAGAGCCTTTTGGAAAGAGTCTCTAACATCCATGTGTAATTAGACTTTGGGGAGACTGGATTTGGCAAGTTAAAATCATAACAGACAGATAGATAAGCTAAACACCAATAGATAAATTTTCAAAGACAGCTGTACTGTCACAGAATTCTAGAGTATTCAGAGTTGGATGTTCAGGGCATTTTCCCTTCTTTAAGAAAATTTTGTTGAAACCAGGCTGGGTACAGTGGCTCATTGCCTGTAATCTCAGCATTTTGGGAGCCCAAGGTAGGAGGATTGCTTGAAGCCTAGGAGTTCAAGACCATCCTGGGCAACAAAACAAAACCCCTCTCTACAAAAATAAAAATAAAAATAAATTAGTTGGATATGGTGGTGTGCTCCCGTAGTGTCAGCTACTAGGGAGGCTAAAGTGGGAGGATTATTTGAGCCCAGGAGTTTGAGGCTGCAGTGAGCTATGATCATGAACTGCACTCTGGCCTGAATGACAGAGCAAGATCCTGTCTCTAAAAGGAATAAAAAGAAAAAAAAAAACTTCCTTGAAATCAACTGCTATATCAAGACTCTTTGGTGAGCCTGGATCCTAGCAAAAAAGAGACAACATGTAGAGTTACTCTCAGCAACCTGTGAAGTATAATGCATCGTCAGTCATCTCCATCATGGGAATGGATCTCCTGAAGGAACCCTCCAGCATTTGAGGAAGGGACAAGTCACGTGGATGAGTTCTTTATGGTTTTCTTTTTCTAGACTCTGTGCAGACACTGCCTTTCTGTTAACACTTTCTATAGAGAAGTTATAATAGCTTTATTATTGATAAAATAGCTCACATTTATTGCTTTCCAAAAACCTACTTAGTTTGATTTAAGTGATCCAAAGTAAAAAAAAAAAAAAAAAAAGGAAGAAGAAGAAGAAAGTTGTCCAAGGTAGCATGCAGTACTAAGTCATGGAACAAGGAGAGAGCTGGGGAGGCAGCCACCACATTGTAGGCTTGAGTAGTTACCCTGCCACATTAGTTTTAAAGATAATCTGCTGTCTTAATCTGAGGAGGAGATACATGACTCAAGATGAATTTCCTATGTCTCCTTAGCAGCACTTCTACATGTAGCTCATGTCAATCATCATTATTTATTTATTTATTACAGCATAATTTTTTTTATTTTAAAAATTTTATCTGTTTATTTATTTTGAGACCAGGTTATGAGACTGGCTAGTCTTTGTATTTTTGGTAGTGATGGGGTTTTGCCATGTTGCCCAGGCTGGTCTTGAACTCCTGGTCTCAAGCGACCCACATGCCCTGGCCTCTCAAAGTGCTGGGATTACAGGCATGAGCCACAATAATCATTATTTAAATCAATAAAATAACACTGATGATTTGTTGAAGTTAAGACTAAAAGCTTTTATCTATCCAGCCAGGTAGGCATAATAGTCCTATCTTAGAAATGAGAAAACTGAGATTCAGGAGCTTAACTTAGTTCACATAAATCTAGTGCTTTTTCCACACTGCATCACTTTATCAATCAAACTTCCAATCTGAATTGACCTTCTAATTTCTCACCCAATAGTTTTCCCTTGACTGTATCTGTATTTAAGAAGGGAATCTTCATGGACTTATGGCACTAAGTGGAAAACAAGTGGAAATGATGTACAGTCTTGGCTTTCAGTGTGGTATCATAATTTGTTTACCAGTATACTGTAGCAACTCCCCTGGCATAATCTTAATTTCCAGGCTCTCTGGACAATTTCAAGGTCTTCTGGACATCAGAAAAATTATGATTAAAATAACTAATGAGCTGCCTGTAATCCCAGCACTTTGGGAGACCAAGGTGGGAGGACTACTTGAGGTCAGGAGTTCGAGACCAGCCTGGCCAACATGTCGAATTCCCATCTCTACTAAAAATACAAAAATTATCTGGGTTTGGTGGCATATGCCTATAGTCCCAGCTACTCGGGAGGCTGAGGTAGCAGAATTGCTTGAACCCGGGAGGTGGAGGTTGCAGTAGGCTAAGATTGCGTCATTGTACTCCAGCCTGGGGTACAGAGTGAGACTGTCCCCCCCCCCCAAAAAAAAAGAACGAGGACTAGCAAGTATAGGTCTTAGTCTAGGGTCTTTATTTTTATTGGTGCTTCTGCCACTGATTGTTTTTTGGGGGAAGAAAGGGTTAGGTGATTCTTTGTACATCGTGAAGACCTAGATCAGCTTTTATTTTGGGGCTATGGATGGTGTGAGTCAGGAGGGCAAGCAACAGTCTCAAAAATGCTCAAGGAATTAAAACACAAAAACGGAAAATAGCAAGTGTTGACAAGGTTGTGGAAACTTGGAACCCTCAAACGTTGCTGGTGGGAATGTAAAATGATTCAGCTGCTGTGGAAAACTTTTTGGCAGTTCCTGGAAGAATTAAACATAGAATTATCCTATGTCCCAGAAAGTCCACTTCTAGGTATATATCCAAAAGAACTGGGAACAGGTACTCAAATACGTGTACAGGCATGGTCAGAGCAGCACTATTCACAATAGTCAAAAGGTGGAAATAACCCAAATACCTATCAAGTGATGAATGAATAAACAAATTGTAATATGCACATACAATGGGATATTCATCAGCCATAAAAATGAAGTACTGATCCACGCCTCAACATAGAGGAATCTTAAATACAGGGTAAGTCAAACAAACCAGACACAAAATGCCGCATATTGTATGGTTCCGTGTATATGAAATATCCGGAAAAGGTAAACTCATAGAGACAGAAAATAGCTGAGTGGTTGCCAGGGTCTGGAGGAAGAATGGACTGGAGAATTACTACTTAATGGAGTGATGGATGTTTCAGAACAAGTTAGAGGTGGTGGTTGCTTAACGTTATGAACGTAATAAATGCCACTGAATCGTTCACTTTTACTAAGGTTTATGTTATGTGAATTTCACCTTGGGGAAAAAAAAAGTTAAAAAGCCCTCTCTGCCCTTATCTGGGCTTGAAATCTTCCCCACGGATCCAGGGCAAAAGAAACACCCAGCCACTCTGCTTGCGGGAGGAGTAAAGGGTGCCTTGTCCCGACAGTTTGAGCTGTTGTTTTCACACGCATTAATTCCCACTTAGTCAGCACAGTGTCCCGGGCTCCAGTGGGCACAGTCGCGGTCCTGGGGGAGGCACATTCCGCAAATTAACATAAGTTTATGATAAACTTAGTACAGACGGATTGGCTGTCCCTAGAACCTCGGAGTCCTAAAAGAAAAGGATCTATTTCAGTTGGGGGACTTGGACTGAACTAACTCGTGTCCATGGCCGCCAAATCCCATGTGACAAATGTATTGTTTTGTTGTTCGTAGAAATAAACTGTTTTTCGGGCCCCTTCAGGAGCTCCTCTGCAAAGGTGGGGAAGAAAGGTAACTAAATCAGCACGAGGACGTGAGCCCGAGGAGGTCAGCCGTGCGGTCTGTGCAGACCGGCAGGTGGGCGGGGGACACCCCGTGCCCCACCCCAGTCCCCGGGAGGCCGGCCGCCGCAGCTCTGGGAAGTGGGGACTGGCACGGGACCGCGCTCCCGCCCTCCTCGGCGGCGCCGACGGACTGGCAGGCGGCTGGCGATCCGCGAGGGGGAGGCGGCGCCCGGGCTTTGTGGCCGCGGCGCGCGCGGCGGGGCCTGGCCGGCCGGGGGCGCGCCGCCGCCGCCCGGCGCTCGGGAGCCCGCGGCCCTCCCGGCCGCACTGCTTGAGAGAGGAGCCCAGGCCGCCCGCACTCGCGCCTCGCCGGCCCCTCCCCCGGTCGCCGCGGCCGCCGCTGCAGGTAGGAGGCTCCCTTTCCGGGCGGGCCGCAGCGGGGCGGGGGCGCCGGTGGGGGGTGCGGGCTGGGCGCGCGGGGGCCGCGGGCTGGGGGCCGGCATGGCGGGCTTTCCGGCCGCGCCGCTGCGACCCCCGCTCTGCAGGCCGGGAGCCGAGCGGCCGCCTCCGCGCGCCGCGATGGGACTCAGTGAGTAGGGCAGGCCTGCTGCCTACAAAGCCCCGGGGCGCGGGCCTCTGGGGGACTCAGTGGCGCGCTCAGGGTGGGGAGTGGGGTGGGCTTTGGACTCCCGGGCTCAGGGAGCTGCTTGTGGGTGACCCGCAGTACCGCGGTCTTCCCATCCCAGCGTCCCCACTGTGTGCTGATCACTGTGCTCGGTGCTTTTCCATACTTGTCTCCTTTAAGACCCCCAGTGCCCCCTCCCCTGTCCCTAGTGTAACGGGAGGGGTCCCTTACTTGCTGGATGAAGGCTGAGCATCACATCCTTGCTTGACTGACCTTGGGAAAGCTCCTTTACTCCGAGCCTGGGCTACTGTTTCTGTAAATTAGAGGCGGGGGTGGGGGGGGGCGTGGTATAATATCTACCCTCAGGTACTATTGTGAAATATAACGTATGTAAATAATAACAGCTAAATTTTGAGCACTTTCTGTGTACCAGGTCCTAGGTACTAAACAGTTGGCGTGAATTATCACTGAATCATCACACTGGCGGTATGAGGTAGTTACTGTAAATTGCATCAATAATCTTTATTTAGGAATACGAAATAGTGAAGAATTTAGTCTCTCTATACCGATTCAGGAGATTAGGTACTTCTTAGGTGTGATATAACATTTAAGATTACAGACGTTCCTGCAGTATCGAGGAGAGTGGTTATAGGATGCAGGGATATATTTATCATACAATTAAAACTGAAGAGAGGATAATATCAGGGCTAAAGAGTGTGCCTTTCAGCATGTCAGAGAAGATTGTTGTATTCCAAGGAAATTGCTGAATACTAATTCAAAAACAGTTTCTGAGTTAGGATTAAGGACGGCCGTGGGAGTTTGGGGACAGAGAGAGACATGGGTGCACTGAGGGGAGAAGAAGGATTCTGAAGTCCTGGTAGATGTAGAGGAAGGCACCAGGGTTCACCATCCCTCCCCTGTAGCATTCTGGACCAGGATTGCTGGCCAGCTGTCATCCATCCCTTAGAGACTCGGGCTGGGGGAGGAAGGCTGCTGGGTCAGGGGATGGGGAGGGATGTCTCTTTTTACTCTCAGGCCAGGCGAAAAATATTCAGATTGATGGAGGGTGAGGTGATTGTGGGGGCCTCCTAGAATGCCATTATTGCTTCTCACAAAATTCTTGTGTTTCAGGACACGGGATGCTTGCCAGCCCTAATGTTTGATGAGATGCTTAAAATACAAAGGCCTCACTAGTATAATGGAGAAGTGCATTTTCAATACTGTTCACTGAGTCAGAGAAGTAATGGGCCTGAGGAGATTATTTTGGGTTTCAGTTTAGAATGGGGAGAACTAAAAGGCTTTGGATCCTGAAGAAGGAAGAGAGAGGGAGGAAGGGCCCAGGTACTGCACCTGTGGGGAAAGGCAGGAGAAGGAGGAGCTGAGGACTTCACCCCATCATCTGCAAATACCCAGCAGGCTATTCAGTTCTCAGCTACCAAAGGGGTACCCTTTCCTCTCCTGGTTTGTGATGATTTGCTATTTCACATACTGTGGAAGATCAGGGGCTGGACTCAGATACTCCTGTCCTGAGCGAGTAGGAAAGACGTCTGGGAGAAGAGTGTTTTGTTTTGTTTTTAACCAGGCATTGAAGCAGAGAGTATGTGGGTATGTAGCGATGGTGAAGGTAGGGAAAACCATGCATAGTTGGAAATGCAATTGCTTTGGAGAGATAGTTTGGGGTTTGAATCCTAGCTGAACCATTTGTTAGCTTCGTACATTTTTTGTGAGGGTAAGTAATGTTTTTTCACGTATCTGGCATACAGTTCAACAAGCACTAGTACTGTTTTCCCTGTCTGTGATAACATTCATTTAACAAATGTCTGCTGAGCTCCAGTCGTGTGCTGAATCATGTGTTACATTCTGGGGATACAGCAATGACTCAGAAATTATGTATTTCCCTAGGGATTTCCCAGTCCAGTGTGGGAGATGGACGCAAAGAGCAAATTGCAAAAAATATGGGAAGTGCTACATACAGTACAGTCATGTACAACTGGCAGCAAGCTCATAGAAGAGTAACTCATTATGAGCCAATGAGAACTCAGGGCCAATCTATAGCTAACAAGATGAGTATGAGACCTTATGACACAGGTTTTTTTTTGTTGTTCTTATTTTTTGAGACAGAGTCTCACTCTGTTGCCCAGGCTGGAGTGCAGTGGTGTGATCCTGGCTTACTGCAGTCTCCTCTTGGGTTCAGGCAATTCTCCTGTCTCAGCCTCCCGAGTAGCTGGGATTACAGGCGGCCACCACCATGCCTGGCTAATTTTTGTAGTGTTAGTAGAGATGGGGTTTCACCATGTTGGCCAGGCTGATCTTGAACTCCTGACCTAGGTGATCTGCCTATCTTGGCCTCCCAAAGTGCTGGGATTACAGGCATGAGACACCATGCCCAGCCATGACACAGGTTTTGAATGCTCCTGTACCACCTAGCTTTGATCTCTTTTACCTCTGTCTTATCTTTGCCCTGATAGTAGCTTCTCTTTCTCTCTCTCAAAAAAAAAGTAGTTGCAGTGTGTATATAATTTGTAAGCTGCTTCAAATTCATGTTAGAAAGAAGCTGTTTTGAAGAAAATAAGCATAACAGACTGAGTATTAATTGAGGAAGATTTCACAAAAATTACATGAAAGTTGCGCTTTGAAGATTGGAAATGGGCCAGGCACGGTGGCTCATTCCTGTAATCCCAGTACTTTGAGAGTGAGACTTTATCTCCAAAAAAAAAAAAAAGATTGAAAATGGGCCCTTGGTGGCCTTGGGGTAAAGGATTCCAGCTAAAGGAAACCACATGTATACAGAGGTATCAGAACATCAGAACACAGCAGATTCAAGGGCATGAAGGTGAGTTTGGTCTGGTTAGGTTGAAAAATACATGGCGAGGATAAGGGGCTGGAGGCAGTGCTATAATCAGGGCCAGAGCCACAAAGGCCATGAATGCCATGTGAGGAGTTTAGACTTTTATCACTTAGGCAATGGGAGAGACATCTGAGGTTTACAAGGAGGCCTGTGGCTTGATCACTGCGTTTTAATAAGACCCTTGTAGTTGTGTGGAAAAAGGGCTGAAAGTTTGGGAGATCATTTTGGAGATTAGGTCTGACCTCAGAAGTGGACAGTGAGAATGGGAGAGGAGGGAACAGATGTTGGGGTAACAATAGGTCTTGTTAATTAGTTGCATGTGATTGAAGATTGCACTGATGCTTTTGCTTTGGGAAGCCAGGTTGATGTGGCTGACATCATCAGAAATCAGGAGATCTTGGTGTAGGGGAATAATTAGTTTGTTTTTGGGTATGGAGAATTGGGAGTTTTCTGAGATGCCTATGATGGGGCGTAGAAATGGTTTCTAGATGATTGGAAATGTGTTTGATGCTAAGGAGAGAGGCTGGGGCTTGGAAGAGAGGTTCTTCCCAACACTGCCACTTTATTGTTTTTTTTGAGATGGTATTTCACTCTTGTTGCCCAGGCTGGAGTGCAATGGCACCATCTCAGCTGACCACAACCTCTGTCTCCTTGGTTCAAGCTATTCTCCTACCTCAGCCTCCCAAGTAGATGGGATTACAGGCATGCACCACTACACTCGGCTAATTTTGTATTTTTAGTAGAGACACGGTTTCTCCATGTTAGTCAGGCTGGTTTCGAACTCCCGACCTAGGTGATCTGCCCACCTCGCAGCCTCTCAATGTGCTGGGATTACAGTCATCAAGCCTGTTTTTTTTTGGAAAGAGACAGGGTTTGCTCTCTCACCTAGGTTGGGGTATGATAGTACAATCATTGCTCACTGTAGCCTCGAACTCCTGGGCTCAGGTGATCTTCCCATCTCAAGCTTCCCAAGTAGCTGGGATTATAGATAATCATGCCTGGCTAATTTTTAAATTTTTATTTTTAGAGATGGAGTCTCACTGTGTTGCCCAGGCTAGTCTCAAACTTCTGGCATCAAGCAGTACTCCTGCCTCGGCCTCCGAAAGTGCTGAGATTACAGATGTAAACCACTGTGTCTGGGTCCCCCCTCAACTTTTTTTTTTAAACAAACATTGCGAATTTACTATGTGCTAAAGATACAAATAAAATGTAGTTCCCTGCCTCAGAGCTCACCGTCAGATAGGGAGAGCCTTTAGAAGATGGATAGATCTCAGTGCAGAGTAATTCTGAGTGCCGCGAGAGGTAAATACTTGGTACCCTTGGCCTAGAGAAGACTTGAGAGCTGGTGGTTGTAGCTGAAATGGTGGGAGTGGAGAAGAGTGCACTTAGTAGACAAGAAGCAGGTTGGAGTGGGAACACCTACAGAAGGGGACCTTCTGTTTTTCAGCAGTGCTTTCTGTGGAAGATGCTTTAATAATGATTCCAAAGGCATTTCAGGGAAGCTGTGGGTGGGGATGGTTTAAGATGGAGTGTGGGGGAAGGGAAGGAAGGGGTCAGGACTTTTAAGAACTCTCATCTGGTTTAGAGGGGACTGTGAGTGTGGGAAAGTGGGGGAGCCCGGGCTTCCAACAGAAGGCTAGTTCTGCATGCACACAGTCACACTCAGGCACAGATGATGAAAATAAACACTTCCTAGTTACATGGCCGCTTGGAGTGGGTGGAAAACTGGTAGAGAGGGAATGCATTAGACGAAGCAAGTTCAGTGCTAGATTTGACTGGAAAACTCCTGAAAAGGAAAAAAAGGTGGAGAGGGAGAGAGGGTTTCGGTGAGTGGCCATCCTGGGCAGACAGGTATGTACATGTGTCTGCATGTAAGAGTATCGTGTGATTACTCTTACCTCTGGATAGAATGAAATCCTGAAGGGATTCATAC